TATATATATATTGTCGACATTTCTCTGACAGGTCTGGATACTTCCATACAACCCTGCAACTAGACGTTGCAACATATCTCCCATGGCTGACGAAGAAGTAAGCAGTACATGTTTGTCGTTCTACCACTCATATCATTGGATGGTGAGTTTGGACCAGGGCAATACAACAGTCAAATGTGTATTAGTACAAATAAAGGCTTTGAAATTCGTTGCATGACGAAACGCAAACAGAGGGGACTTTAAAATGCTACAAATGACTAAAAAAAACAGGTAAGCAGTTCTGTATACAACCCTAGAGAACATGAGCTGAAAGGTGGTAGTGAACAGATGTATATTGATGTAAGATGGTGTATGGAACTAAGTTTGTTAGTGTATTGTCGTGAGCACAGAAAGATGACAAACTCGACTAAGAATCTTTGTAAGGACTAAGATGTGTGTAAGCAGGGCTAAGATGGTAAATCATTGGTGCAGTTATTGAAAGGTAACGAGTGAGGTTAGGTCTATGTAATTAATCGTACATAGAACAATAATATTACAGATGAGACACTTAGAGCTAATGGGTCTGTAATGAGGTAATTAACAACCCTTTGAGTACTGAGTGACCACAAAATTTTTCATTGGTCTCAGACATGGATGAAGAACCAAATGAGTGAAGAGACTTGAAAAGTATTGAAACAGCCTCGTGTTAAGAACGCACATTTAGGAATTTAAATTAGAGCATTCCACTCACTTGCCCTCAAGCTTTATTCCAATTGATTCATCCTTGCACCTAACTCTATTAAAGGACGAAGGGTAAGCCACTTTTACAAATACATTTGAACCTGTGTCCCACACATTCACCTGTACAGTCACTTTCAAATCCTCCCCCCTCCCCTTTTTGTGTCTAGTAGCATTTCTTTAGATTAAAATGGAACTGTCCAAGACATCTACCTCTCTAAGACCACCAATTCTTTTTACTTAAAAATGGATGGAGGTCAAGGACGATTTCCACTGTGTTCAATTAGTTGTCTCTGAAATATATTGGAGCTTACTAAGGACCCCATATCCAAACTAAGGAAATGTTGAATGAAAACAAAGAGGAATGGGGAGGGGAAATGTTGTAAACAATCAGACTTTCAAAAACGTATTCACCAAAAAACAAATGAAACAAATACTATGACGACTAGATCTATGGACTTAAACTACTGTTGTATTTCCAACGATAACAGCTTTTATTTATTGTAATTTTCAGGTTTAAGAGCATGGGTGGCAAGCTCAGATGTGCAAAAGTACTTTCCCTTGATGAGGTAATTTGCAAGACATGTGATATTAGGAAACTATTTTTAGTTTTTAGTATGCTGTTTTTTCTGGTGGCCCATACAATCAAATGGGGCAGTACCATCAAAATATGATAGCGTCTACATTAATGTTTCAGTTTCTCTAAAGAACTGCAAAGGGGTGTGCTTTAGGAGTACTGCTTAACACCCTTTCCAAATGCATATTTGGGATACGCGTCATATTCTATCCCTAAGTATTCTACATATACATGTAGTTTACATTTGCTATAGAATTATTTTTGTTGTATGTCACTATGGGCTGCAGTAGGCTGTGTTCAAGTTATTCAAGGTTTTGATCTTTTAAACGATGACTCTCTTGAGCAAATTCTGTCTCTTCTAGCACATTTATGTGATGTAGAAGGGGAGACAGACTTGCACGTTTTATGTAAGAAGCTACAGAAAAGCAAACCTAAACCTATTTTCCTTTTAGGTAGCACCATCACAGACGACCAGAGAAAGCAGAACATTATACCCGGTACTTCGCCTCAGTAAACAGACTCTTCACAAACAAGGATAAGCACCAAGAAAAAGCCCATAGCATGAACAGCAACCTTTTTAAGGAGGACTTCAGCATGATGGAACTCAGACAGGCCCTCAAAAAGTTACACAACGAGATGCTATGCCACCTTGGCGCTAAAGGAAAAGACGCTATGCTATGCCGCCTAGTAAATACCTTTTGTAGAACAAGAGGAATACCAAAGGCATGGAGGATCGCCCAGATCATACCGCTCTTGAAGAATGGGAAACCACCGGGAAAAGCAAAGAGCTACCGACCTATATCACTAACATCATGCATCGGTAAGCTCGGTTGAAGAATGGTTTACATCCGTATTTACTGGAGAACACAAATAGCTTGAACCCACACAACGCAGGCTTCAGAAAAGGCAGGAACAAAGAAGACCAACTTTTCAAACTAAGTCAAGACATCCAGGATGGTTTTCAGGAGTCAAAACACACTGTCGCCATCTTTGTAGACCTTCAACAGACGTACGACAGAGTGTGAAGAAGAGGCCTACTCATGAAAATGGTGGACCTCTGGATACACGGAAAACTTTATAAATGGATCAGGTTTTACCTAGCAGATCGAAACATCGAAACCAAGGTGAACAATGCCCACTCATCAAGAGACGTACCCGAGGAGGGCCTACCCCAAGGTTCCTGTCTGAGCTGCACTTTGTTCCTGACCTTCTTTAATAATGTAACGAAGGTGCTGAAATCTGAAAAGACTCTCTACGCTGATGATCTTGCTCCCTGGCAGAAACATCACAGCACAGTAGTAAGAGTAGGGAAATTAAATCAAGACCTCAAGAGGCTTCACAATTACTGTCAGAAATGGAAGCTCAAAAATAAACTGCACGAAAACAGAAAAAGCCATCTTTACAAAGCGCCATAAAACAGCCAAAGAAAAACTACAAACTGAAGATAGGAAATGAAAATCTCCTTAAAAAAAAGAACAATCAACATACCTAGGAGTCAAACTTGACAAAAGTCTAACCATGAAAAGCCAAGTGGAGTTCATAAAGAACAAGGCGAAAAGAAGACTCCAACTTTTTAAAAAACTCGCAAGCAGTTCGTGGGGATCAGACAAGCAAACTTTTAGAGCTCTATACCTTGGTTATGTCCGATCTTCCCTGGAATACAGCAATAACCTACTCACTATCTTGTGAAGCACAACTACCTGCAACTCCCTTGACAAGGTCCAAAATAATGCCCTTCGTTTCATAAATGGTGGCATGAGATCAACACATACTGCCGTATGTGAAATTCTTTCAAATGTTGAACCCCTGGGAATTCGCAGAGATAACACAGTTTTGGAGCTCCATGAAAGAACCAAAAGAATTTGCCTCAACCACCCAAACAGGAAATTAGTAGAAACATGGAGACAAAAGAAACGACTTTTTAAAAAATCAATCCTGCATCACATCACTCAACTAATGGAAAGTCACCATCTACCACAAAACAGAAAAGACACCAAAAGAATCAATCAAAACATCCGTCCCCACATTTCTTTGGAAAAACCAGTCATTACAAAACAATATCTCTAAGAGACAATAGCACAACATCTTCCGACTCACTGACGCTAATGCTTGCATCACATCAAACAATCGACAGCTATTCAGATGACTGGATACACGGAATGCTCGACCAAAGCCGGAAATGGAATATTAATACAGTACCAAGATGGAAGTTCCAATGAGAACTCTGCAGCCTGAGGAGAGATGCAGAAATGATGGCACTTGAAACAGCACTATACCGTCTCCGCACAGGTTTTGACACTCATCAAAACAAAACGAAGGGTACTGTAATGTTCACTGACTCACTATCAGTCTTGCAAGGGTTAGAAAATGACCATTATCTAAACCAAGACTTCAAATATATTATACTGTTTGGTTCCCATGGCGTCAACCTGGTGTTGCAGTGGATTCCCGGACACTCAAACATACCTGGAAGTGACACAACAGACACACTTACCAAAATGGGATCTAGACAGGAACAGCCCAACACCCCATCCCCATACAACACTGTAAAACAAATCATTAAAAGCAACAGAAAACAATATTGGGAGAACAGATGGACCTTTAAAAAGACAGGCCCAGCAGTTTTCAAACATGTGACCACAATAAAAACGTAATGACAAAATCAATCACCTACATAGAAAGAAACAGACCACGATCTTCCGCCTACGAACAGAACATCAGCTCAACTTCCACTTGAACAAAATAAAACCAGAACTTCCCCCAATGTGTACTTTATGTGACTATGCATATGAGACTGTGGATCATCACCTTTTCTACTGTACAGCCCAAAATGACATCAGAGCTACACTTTTCCCTCCGAGACCTAACATTGATAACACACTCTGTGGAACATTACAGTAACTGCAGCAAACCTGCACTTATCACTACATGTATGGCATCAGACACAAAGGCGAGAGCCCAGCTGTTGCTGGATCGATAACAACAGCAACAACAACAACAACAACAACAACAACAACAACAACAACAATAACTATAACATGAAAGAAGCTGACATTGCACAGAAAAGCACCCCCAACACAATTTTCTGTAGATTATTATTATCATTATTATTTTTGGGTATGAAGTATGTTCAGCTTTTCATAGAATATTTCTTCAACCTGTTTGTCATTAACGTGGTCTGATTTTTGTTTGGTGTTGTTTCTCAAATGTCAGCTAAGCTTTCACACAAAAGTGTGGCGTTTTAAGTATTTAACTTCAAAACAAGTTGATCCGTATTCTTTTCCAAAGCAACAAGCAACATGTTTCAGGATCAATTTTATTTCATTGCATTTGTGCGATGGCTCCAGTTTCGTGGTCAGTGCAGTGTGGTTGTCAACTGCTGTGGTATCGGAGCAAAGGAGCTGCTGAATGACGACGACATCATACCAGTCAAAGGCCAAGTTATGAGAGTAAGAACAAAGAAGTACATAGTATGGAGAAACAAAAGAAATAAATCGATAAATGGATGGTTGTGTGTGTGTGTGTGTGTGTGTGTGTGTGTGCATCTATGTGTGTGTGTATATGTGTGTGTGTGTGTGTG